ACACACACACACACACACACACACACACACACACGACCTTTAGTATAGAGAACAGGCCTAAAGATAACCAAGTGTCCTACCAGAATGTTAGTTACAGGCTTCCAGGCTGCATGGGTACTTTGTGGCTTTGCCTCAGCATCTTCAAAGAGCATTAGTGCTCAGCATTATGTAGCTAATATTAGCAAGCAAGTATTTAATTTTTCCCCCTACCCTTGTTTCTACATCCGTCCATTCAGACTCTGTACCATCTGGTTGGGCTGGGGCTAGTGTGGACGATCTTCGTTTCCGACTACTGAAAAAGGGGAAACATGGGGCAACAATCACTTTTGAATCTGGGGATGAAAAACATTAGAAGGGGGAAAACCACCTACAACCCTGCAGAGAAGTAATGATAAACCTCACAGGATATTCAGTTCCTAAGAACAAGATGCTAAAAAACAGCTTTTTACAGATGTATTTGTGACCAACACTCACCCAGTTGGCGATTCCTGTTTTAAAGTTTCAATATCGGTAAACTGAACTGATTGTCCACCACCTCTCGTCTTAAATACATCTCCCTAAATCCAAGAGAAAAAAGTCAGTTACACTTGATAATCCTATCAGAAACCAATCCAATCCATTCTTATCCATATACCCCAAAGACCCTTGAGTTGCTGAATTTACTGATCAAATTCTTCAGAAACTTTAGTCCATCTCTCATTAAGGTCTCCACGAATAATCAGTAACATTCCTAGCTGTGGGGAACATATTTTATTGCACCTATAGCTTTAAAACCTGGACTGCAACAAGGGTCAGTAACCAGGCCCATGTTTCAATGCTGTTGTCCTTGCAAGACCTGCAATGACTCCCACCTGTCACTGTCTTTTTATCTTGTAGTCCTGATTTTTTTCCACTGGCTGTATATTCAAAAGAAAAGTCTTCTATAGGCAGGAAAGGCTCTTCTTTCCAACAAAGATTTTTGGGTAGCTCAGTACTGAGTAACATCTTCAGTTCATTTGTCTATTTGTCAGACTGTTAACTGAGATCCTCTAAGTTTTGATGCAAACATTTTTATCTTGAAGTAAGAGCTAAGTAGGAGACAATTGTCTAGGTTTCTTTTTGTTGCTGGTTTTTAAAGATAATTATGTGTTCCAGCATGGCCTCCTGCCAGCCTGTCTGCCTGCCATAGCCTCCCAAGTGCTAGAGTCAATATTGACAATCAAGCAGATTGTCAATATAGGTTTACTTCTGAAACATAAATTTTAGCTAAAACTTTACTACTTTAGTAACTATATCACAAGAAATCCAAGATTCAGATGCTGGAAAGATAGCTTAGTGGTTTAGAGCTCACTGCTTTCCCAAAGGACTCTTGACTAGATTATCAGAATCCATATTTCAGCTTACAAGTGTCTATAACTCACCCCTGTAATGCACATATATGCAGGTAAAGCACAAAAAATAGTAAATAAGTTTTAAAAAAGTAACCCAAGTAGAGATCTGGTCTCAGATTCTCATAACCTAAGCAGTTACATTCATTTTCTTCTAAAACAAAAGTTCCACCCAGCACCCATTTATGTTCTAGATCTGGTCAAGGGATAGCAGGGCAAAGGTCTTTCACGGGTATTCTTTTGTGAAGACTTGTTTACCTTAATTACTTTAGTTTGAATCTCCCCATCGGAGGCTAGTTCCTGGTGGGTCAGCATGTACTTCTCACACTTAGCTAGCGCCTTTTCACTTGCAACAGACACTGTGATGGCATTAGGGACATGTGGCTGCATGACTGTCTCAGTTTGCACATTCGAGGCAGGCTTATGATCTACCCATCTGCCACCTGCAGAGCGGGACCTTCTGTGTCGTACAGGAATTGGTGTGTTCTGATCAGGTTGAAAGAGGAATTGGGAAACAAGCACAACCCAGGATTACTTTGAGGTTCTGTTACAACTGCAGCAGTTTACAATGCAAGTTCACAGAAATCAAACCTGTCCACACTAAACATGAAAGTCATTCAGTGTTCTCTTCTTAGCTAAACAACCATCAGGCATCTTTGGACAAGGAGATAGTCTGTTTGGGAGCTTCCATTTCAACAAAGGGCAAAAGAGTGACACTAGATCTTCCTGTCTATGGCTAGTTCACGACAAATAATCCATTTTGCATTCTTGATCAAAAACCAATTGTTGCCTGCTTTGTGAAGTAATAAATAGATTAGTGGATCTGTTAAAGATATCAGCAGGATCACAGGAACACTGAGGCCTTGACATAGAAAACTCTTGAAGATGATAGGGGAAAGGAACTTCACATGTGTCATGCCTCCACAGTGTAAGTGCTTCTGAAGATGACAGGGGACAGGAACTTCACATGTGTAAGTACTTTTGAGCAGTAAAGATTTTTATATTTCAAAACACATTTCCACAAAAGCTTCAAATACTTTTTTTCCTCCAACTGTTTCTTAAAAGCTCTGATTCTATATAGTATGAAATTGGCTTGTATCACATAAAACTACTTGTTTTCCAGTCAAATGCAAAGGTAAACAGCACATTCAACTTTAAAAAAAACCCACACATTTCATGTACATGATACAGTAGCATGAGCCAACTGTGAGCATCTCCTATTTATAAAACAGAAATCAGAGTCTGCAGGCACAGTCCTTGCAACCTAGCCAAATGAGGACTCTGGAAACCAGCTCAGGACAGCTCAATTGACACGACAGCTCAACAGTCACAACTGCCACTAGGACACTGAGCTACCATAACAGGCAGGCAGGAAACTTCCATTCTGAAAATGGTCTGATCGACGCTGAGTAAGAAAACTCTAGCTCGGGGGCTGGAGAGATGGCTCAGTGGTTAAGACTGCTCTTCTAGAGGTCATGAGTTCAATTCCCAGCAACCACGTGGTGGCTCACAACCATCTGTAATGGGATTTGATGCCCTCTTCTGGTGTGTCTGAAGACAGTGACAGTGTACTCATATACATAAAATAAATAAATCTTTAAAAAAAAAAAATGACCAATCTTTGTTTAAAAAAAAAAAAAAGAAAACTCTAGCTCTTAAGATCTAGCACTTGACACAAGAGCTTCCTCAGACACATTCACAGCATAATACATTCCAACCAAACTTTGAAAGGGGGACCGACTACACAGAATATAATAGCAATCATGACTCAAGTATTTTGAAACCCCTTCCTCACCAAAATGTAAAACTCAGTTCACCTGATAACTTCTGACCACTGAAAATGGACAGAGATACTAACATTGTGGACACTTTTCTGCTGCACTTCTAAAGAGATTGTAATTTTGAGAAAGAAGTTAAAGTCTATGTCTCTAGTTCATCTTCCTGTCTCACAGCCCAAACCAGGCATTTCTTTACTGCTGGCCAGGTGAGTCTGACATCCTCAAAAGAGGAGGATTCACTAGAGTTGATCACAGAGACCATTCACCATGACCTGCTCCCTAAAAGGCTCAAAGTAAAATCTGCTAAGTAAGAACTTGAGACTTTAGTCTGTTGCTTCTAAGAACTCTGGGACTGGCTGATCACCATCATTAGTAATCAGACTGCAGGGCATTTGACATTCTAAATCAGCTAAGATCTTAAGCAAGTATTTACTTGCAAGACTATTAAAATAACAGCTAAGATTTTATTAAATATATAATTATCAGTATTTGTGATAACTTATAGAATTCAAAGGAAATATCTTAATATTGAAGAAATATAAATTGGGTTCACATCGGGCAGTGGTGGCGTATGCCTTTAATCCCAGAACTTGGGAGGGAGAGGCAGGTGGATTTCTGAGTTCGAGGCCAGCCTGGTCTACAGAGTGAGTTCCAGGACAGCCAGGGCTACACAGAGAAACTGGGTTCACCCATGAATGAGGCAGAGCCCTTCTAAGGCATTAAGATAAGCATGTAATAAACATGTAAAAGCTGTCCGGGGTTTCAAGCAGTTCAAGTCACAAAATTCAACAGGGTGAAAGCAAATGTTTAAAGATTTGTGATTAACACATGCAGTGCATGCATCTGGAGAGCAGCAAGCCAAGGCCATCACTGG